GTGTGTGTGTGTGTGTGCGCGCAGGAGAAGAGCACGTATCTGGGGCTGGTCACTATCCCGATCCCCAGTATAACGGGCCGTCATTTCGCGGAGCAGTGGTATCCGGTCATCCAGCCCAGCGCTCTGGCTAAAGGCGGTGGCGTGGGCAGCGGGAAGATAATCAACGCCTCGCTGCGCCTCAAGTGCCGCTACCAGACCATGAACATCCTTCCCATGGAGCTGTACAAGGAGTTCGCCGAGTACGTGACCAACAACTACCGGACTCTGTGCGGCGTCCTGGAGCCGCTGCTGAGCGCCAAGAGCAAGGAGGAGGTGGCCTGTGCGCTGGTGCACATCCTGCAGAGCACCGGCAAAGCCAAGGTCAGAGTGCTCCGCTCACGCCCATAGGCCACGTACACACTGCAGGTTTCAGGAGCGACAGCCACATTTAAATGCGGGAGTGAGGCCCGTAAATTATTGCTCCATGTGTGTACGGAACAGCAGTCACTCCGCATTTGTAACCATAGAGACAGAGTGACACGCATCAAGGTCTGAAAACCACGCCCACACCGGGGGGGGTAAAACCCTGAGGTAAAGTGTCAGTGTTGCCAGATCTTCATAGAAAAAAAAAACAACAAACAAGGACAAGCACAAAAACACTAAAACACCCAAATGCTTTGTTTTATAACACACACACACACAAACAAAAAACATATATCTCATATCCGCAACAGAGCACATTATTAACTCCATCTTTATGAGCTAAGACCAAACAACATGCCTAAAAGCACTTGTAAATATGAGGACATGGCAACACTGCAAGACAGCGCTCTCTAAAGCAGCGTCCCGAGCATTAACAAAACACAGCACGTCTATCAGTGGTAGTTTAGTTAAAATCGACGGACAAAAAGAGTCTTTAGCCAGATACCAAAAGGCTAAATTTTTCTCCACTCCCGCAAGACGCCAAAATGTTGCTATAGAGACAGAACACATTTAGGCCACGCCCACTGGGGGGGAAAACAATCCAACGCTCTCCATTGACTCTGTATTGCGGGAAGCTGCCTCCTTGTCATTTCTGACTTATAACAAAAAACAGAACAATGCCTAAAAGCTGCTGTGTGACAAGATGTACAGCAAACAAGCTAAAAAAAACAGAACTACGTAGGGCTGTGACGTATGGGATTTTTTCTTACCTCGGTGAAGAAGCAAAAAATCATTTCCTCCGCCGCCTCCAGAAATCTGTAATGATCAAGAACCCATGCAGCTTGTACATGAACATGGAAATGAATAATAATAAAGCAGTCTATTATTAAAACTGCAAATTATAATAACAATAACAATATTTATTTTTAGAAGTTTGTTGTTCCCTTTCAGTCGGTCACTCTCGACGTCATGCCGGTGACTGACGAAATGGGAACTTGCTTAAAGAGACCAATCCACTTCGAGTGTAAACTAAACAAGCCAATACACATTGGCATGCGATGATTGCATCCAGCTGTCGCTGATCAAAGCGTGAGCATAAAAAGGCAGCCGGAGCAATGCATACCAGCTTTCCGCTTCGGTCACGATCGCTGCCTCATGTGTCTGGGCATTAAATGCGCTGAGGTGGCGTTCGCGGATGAGTCATGTTCCCATTGCGGGAAGATGACCATTTCGGAGTTGCGGGCCAGGCTCTGTTTCCTCCAGGGGGGGCGGAGCTCCGTTGCCTCTGCTGCGATCTAGTGTTCGGCGAGGACTACTTCGGACAGTAGCACGGGCGGTCTGAGGGTTACAGTGGTGGCAAACCCCTCAGGGAACCAACCCTCGGGGGACCATCGCTCCTCTAGCGCTTCGCAACCAGTCGAGCCGCCAAAGGTATCCTTCGGTGCTCCTCCCGACGACCGGATGTCGATCACTGCTTCGGAGGGAGAGCTCTCTGGAGTGGAAGATTCGGCTGCGCTGCCGCCCTCCAGGACAGTGGCAACACCTGAATCAGATCCGGAGATGTCGGCTATGCTTTCCCGGGCCTCCAAGAGGGTAGGGCTCGAGTGGAAACCTCCACCGCGTCCCAAGCCCTCGAGGTTGGATGATTGGTTTCTCGGGGTGGCTCGCGCCCCGCCTCGGTTTCTTTCTTCCCAGAGGTGCATGAGAAGCTCACCGGGTCATGGACGGCACCTTTTACTGCCAGAAACCGACCTGCTGGTTCCTCCTCCCTCACCACTCTCAACGGGGTGCAGCTAGGGGGTATACGGCGATCCCCCCGGTGGAGCGGTCGGTAGCGATGCAGTTGTGTCCTAAGACCGCCTCCTCCTGGCGGGGAAACCCGTCGCTTCCCTCCCGGGCCTGTAGGCATTCGTCTGGTCTGGCCGGCGGTGCTTATACGGCTTGTGGAGAAGCTGCCTCCGCCTTACACGGTATGGCGTTACTGCAGGTTCATCAGGCCAAGGCACTGAAGGACCTGCACGAGGGTGGTCACGATCCGGAAGTTCTGAAAGAGCTCCGAACCGCCACTCCGTTCTCCGTTCCTCAATGCCCCTGTGTCCCAGACTGGCCTCTTCGGCGACGCGGTCGAGAGCTTTGCCCAGCAGTTCCCGGCTGCACAGAAGCAGACTGAGATGATTCATCACATCCTGCCCCGGCAACTGTTTATTTCTAATATAAATGTTATTAATATAAATATAGACATGTAAATACATGTAAATATTTTCAAAATATATACATGCATGTGTGTGTATTAATATATAATAGTGCTGTCAATCGATTAAAGCACATTTTTCTGAAATTAATCGTGATTAATCCCACCTACATTAAAGTTTTTAAATATACTTTTATATTGCAATAATTTCACATTCAATACTCAAATTAATGTACAAACAACATAAAGACAGTATATTTTTAAATATTAGTTTTTTTATGACTGAAGGCCAGTATCAATGACACCAATACTGATTTCTCTATAAAAATTGACTATAGCCATTCAACATTATATTATAATTGAGATCTATCAATTTTAACATTTATTAGACTTTAAAAAATTACTTCTAATTTAAGTGAACTTAAAACAATCTTCACATAAACCCATTATAATAAATGTCATATTTACCTGTGCCCTTCAGCAGAAATATACAGAATTTGAAGTTATCAAACACTAAATTCTAAATTAAATATAGATGAATCCTTAAAGCTTAAAAGTTATTGATTTCCTCTTTTTTCTTTTGTTAATAATAATATAAATTAGAAAAACGCAACAACAAAATTACTAAAATTAACAACAATTAAAAACTTTTAAAAAAAATTTTTTTTCATTCAAACTACTAATAAAAGACTACATTACTACTAAAAGATCATGTGTAGGATCCCTGTGAAGTGGCCAGGCAAGCTGATGTCAAGCGTGTGTGTGTGTTCAGGACTTCCTGTCTGATATGGCCATGAGTGAGGTGGATCGCTTCATCAACCGCGAGCATGTGCTCTTCAGAGAAAGCACACTGGCCACCAAAGCCATCGAGGAGTTCCTGAAGCTGATCGCGCATCGCTATCTCAAAGACACCATCGGTGAGTGTGTGTGTGTGTGTGTGTGTGTGTGTGTGAGGATGATGATGATGACGGGGCGCTCTGCTCTGCTCTGCAGGAGAGTTCATCCGCGCGCTGTACGAGTCGGAGGAGAACTGTGAGGTGGATCCGATGCGAACGCCTCCGTCGGTGCTGTCGGATCATCAGGCTAACCTGCGCATGTGCTGTGAACTAGCGCTCTGCAAGATCATCAACTCACACTGGTCAGTTCCTGTCAGCTGACCAATCCTTGCTTCAGTAACTTTAACACTTTCACATGTTCACGCATCTCTGGTGTCACATGACATGCAGCTAAACTAATACACCATTTGATCTTTTTATAGTGTTTCATTTTGATTTGTTTTTATTTAAATTTATTTAGATTTTGTGTTTTAATTATTTATTACAAAATGTTTCATTTTGGTTACATGTATTTTAAAATTTTATTTCAATTTTACATTTTTATGATGTAGTTCATTTTAATTTATGTAGTTTATTTTAGTAGTTTTATTTTGAAATTATTTTTTTTTTTACATTTTTATGATTTAATTATTATTTTGTTATTTTAATTGTCTTTTATGTTTATTTCAATTGTACAGTTTTATGTAGTTAATTAGTTTTTTTACTGTTTTTACGTAGTTATGATTTAATTAATTATTATTGTGTTATTTTAATTGTCTTTTATCTTTATTTCAACTGTACATTTTTATGTAGTTAATTCGGTTTTTATTAGTTTTTATTTTTATTTTATTACATAGTTATGATTTAATTAATTATTAGTATTTTAATGGTTTTTATTTTAAAATTATTTATTTCAATTTTATTATTTAATTAATTATTAGTAAGTGTTTTATTTTGATTGTATTTTTATTTTTTTTTTCAATTTTACGTTTTTTTTTATGTAGTTAATCAGTGTTTTATTTTGATGCAATGTACTAGATTAGACCTACTAATTCATAGCTTCCAGAGCTGTGTGAAAGCCAGTGTTGAAGTGCGAGGTGTTTTTAGTATAGGGATGGCAGTGCATGATGGGATGTGTTCTCTCTCTGCAGCGTGTTTCCTCGCGAGCTGAAGGAGGTGTTTGCGTCGTGGCGTGTGCGCTGCGCTGAGCGCGGCCGGGAGGACATCGCTGACCATCTCATCAGCTCGTCTCTCTTCCTGCGCTTCCTGTGTCCCGCCATCATGTCCCCGTCTCTGTTCAGTATGACGCAGGAGTATCCGTCTGAACGCACCTCTCGAACCCTCACGCTCATCGCCAAGGTGGTGCAGAGCCTGGCCAGCTTTTCCAAGTCAGTCACTAGAGTCCAGGGTCATCCTCACACGTCACATGACCCTCACTGACACCACCTCACTTCCCCATGCAGCCGGCGACACCAGTGTTGTTCTAGCATCCGTAACACACTCTTATAGTCACACCATTACAGTTCTGCTTAATATATGTGACCCTGGAGCACAAAACCAGTCATAAGGGTCAATTTTGTGAATTTGAGATTTATACATCATCTGAAAGCTGAATAAATAATCTTTCCATTGATGTATGGTTTGTTAAGATAGGACAATATTTGGCTGAGATAAAACTATTTGAAAATCTGGAATCTGAGGGTGCAAAAAAATCAAAATATTGAGAAAATAGCCTGGCCAGCTTTTCCAAGTCAGTCACTAGAGTCCAGGGTCATCCTCACACGTCACATGACCCTCACTGACACCACCTCACTTCCCCATGCAGCCGGCGACACCAGTGTTGTTCTAGCATCCGTAACACACTCTTATAGTCACACCATTACAGTTCTGCTTAATATATGTGACCCTGGAGCACAAAACCAGTCATAAGGGTCAATTTTGTGAATTTGAGATTTATACATCATCTGAAAGCTGAATAAATAATCTTTCCATTGATGTATGGTTTGTTAAGATAGGA